TAATATGTGAGGCGTTAGTGTGGGCATGCACTAAAGAAAGCGCATAATGACGTATAAATAGATGCGGCTCATGGATTGTAATGTTTATTTCGTCTTCATCCTTAGAATGGAATGCATCGTACGCTGAGAGATGAGACACAGACGGAGAAGGCAGAGATGATGTCAGAATATCGGTGAGTTATATTAGTAACGAGTGCGCGCTCGTGTGTGCCTTGGAAAATGGCGGCTTCCAGATGACTAAATGGTGCACACGCTATTCCGTTTCTCACTAGTTGACGTGCGTACACGTAGATTTGAGTCTCCAGATGTGACGCATATGCCATCATTGAGAGTATGAAGAACTGGTGTACATGTGCGTCTGATTCCTCGTCGGAAGATGCGTCTCATGCACGTCCCAGCCACAGGCACTTGGAACGTCTTAATAACAAAACTAATGGTAAATAAACACTAAATGTATTTACTATCAAAGTATTAATGTTTCTCTACTCTATGTCACCTATTATTGTCGATAACTTGCTGTAAATGCCGTTCAAATGCTCATCTGCAACACACAAGTACACAAGTACACCGCACGCACGCCCTGTACACAAACAACAGGAATAAAAGATATAAAAAAAAGCTCTTGTTTGTTGCAGATGAGCATTTGAACGGCATTTACAGCAAGTTATCGACAATAATAGGCGAAATAGAGTAGAGAAACATTGAGACTTTGGTAGTAAATATATAAATTTCGTGTTTATTTACCTTTTTTTTTTTTCATTGAGACGTTCCAAGTGCCTGTGATCCCAGCGTTCTGTGAGACTCCTGATTTCACCCATGTGTGCACAGCGCTCGGAGCGAGCAAAGACGATTCCCATGTACTTATCATTGGGGAAGGGGGGGTTTCCGTGTTTGTGGGAGCTATTGAATTAGACAGATTCAAGGTTCAGTTGTCTAAAGATGGCAAACCTGACGATGAGTCGAACAAGTCATTTAATTAGGGTGTCAAGAGTTGACGTGCATACGTGAAATTTTGAGTTTGCAGATGCGACGTATGTGCATATAATTTACATGCCAGTCACCTCTGAGAGACCCCAGAAACGACCCGTGTCTACACGGCGCATTCCAAGCCCGCATGGGCGACTCGTCTATACATGTCTCTAGGTGCACGAATCCACGTTTGAGGCGATCAGTGAATTAGACAGCTTTCTGTGAAAGGCTTTCCCGTCTCAGTCGTCAGTAGGATAGCAAACATTACGGATAGTTTGTACGGATCGACGAACTGCCGTAATCACCGCTCGGCGAAGTGAAAATTTCTGCTTCGCCGCTCCGAAATTTGTCCTCGTCTGTAGAATATGTTTATCAGGCGAACTTAGGGCTGCGCGGGGTGGATGGAGAACTCAGTTGTTAAATTGACTACGTCACGAATTTTCTGTGTGTTTCTGGTGTAAATTTATAAAATGTTTGTTGCATTTTTTTTACATGAAAAGTAAGTACTAACGGCACTAAATGTATCCTCAAATTCTTACCCGTTAAGATTGTTTCTCAACTAGTTAAGAATGCAAATTAATCTGGGCGATTTGATATATTGATCACGACATTAAATGCTTGCTATGAGCTTTGTATGAGTCACGAGTGTTTGTTCACATCGAACGGAATAGCTAAATACGAAGTATAATGCAGCAATTTATCAGCGACATAATCACTTACATTTTTTGAAAAAGTGTACACCATTTTTTTTACTTTTACTATTTACGGTGACGTAATCACTAAGACACTTGCCGCGTACTACCCGCGGTTGGCTCACAGCGTCTGATCGTCCACGGAGTCGATCTATCGTGTGCTTCTCAACCCTGTCGATAGCTAGCGTAGGCTGGGGCTGTAGCATGGGAAATTATAACGATCGAGGTTAATGGCTGTCGGCTTATGGTTAGGGGTTATAGCTAGAAATATGGTGTTGATGATGATGGTAATGATGACAATGGCGACGACGATGACGATGGTGAGGCAGCTACAGACCCACAGGCACTTGGAACGTTTCAGTAGTGAAATTATGGTAAATAAACACGAAATGTATTTACTACCAATGCCTGAATGTTTCTCTACTCTCGTTCGCCTATTATTGCTGATAATTTCCTGTAAAAGGGGGGGGGTGCGATCGCCGACTGTAGGGTGCCTTCCGTTCGCGAACCGTGAGCGATTAGTTCTCAGAAACAGCAGGCATCCTTGGAAACACCTGTGCGTGGCATTGGTGGAAGTTAGCACGCTGTTATTTGTCGATGGGCGGCGTGCGGGAAGTGAAGAGGCAGCAAAGAAGAAATCAATCTAGACTCGTGTAAGCACAAAGGACAAATGTCCTTGAAGGCAGACAGATAACGACAGGATCCGAGCACTGATTCGGCTCGGCTGCATTACAACCGTGAGAGATATGTGTTACGTCTGAGACATGATATATATAACCTATAATTACATTGCTCAGTTTCAGTCTTACTCCAAGGCCCCCGAATTTGATGATGGTCTCAGAAATATGGTTAGGTTGGGGCTGTAGCATGGGAAATTATAACGATCGAGGTTAATGGTTGTCGGCTTATGGTTAGGGGTTATAGCTAGAAATATGGTGTTGATGATGATTGTAATGATGCCAATGATGACGACGATGACGATGGTGAGGCAGCTACAGACCCACAGGCACTTGGAACGTTTCAGTAGTAAAATTATGGTAAATAAACACGAAATGTATTTACTACCAATGCCTGAATGTTTCTCTACTCTCGTTCGCCTATTATTGCTGATAATTTCCTGTAAATTCCGTTCAAATGCTCCTCTGCAACACACAAGTACACCGCACGCACGCCACTGCACAAACAACAAGAATAAAGACTCTATAGAGAGCATATGAACGGCATTTACAGGAAATTATCAGCAATAATAGGCGAACGAGAGTAGAGAAACATTCAGACTTTTGTAGTAAATACATTTCGTGTTTATTTACCATAATTTTACTACTGAAACGTTTCAAGTGCATGTGGGTCTGTAGCTGCCGCCCGTAGTTTTACGGCAGACTACATTGTGCGGAGGAGGTGTGGCTAAAAGTCAACCTGTCACATCGGGAGGGTGGCGTGACGTACGTGCGGCACAGCAGTGACAGCACGTACTACGGGGAGCAGACGAAGATTTCCGGTGGCTAGACGGGGGGTTGAATCATAAGACGGTTTGGGTCGAGTATACTAGCTCTAGAACTATAGCCCTTCGCTCGGCTAACGCTCCATTAGGAGTGTTCCCAACTTTGATATCATTAATGATTAATGATTGATAATCCTAACCCTAACCCTAACTCTAACCTAAATGACATTAAACCACAAACTAATTTATGACCATGGATGACCATATATAATATATATATATATATATATTATATATATATATGTTATTATGACCATTAATGAAATTAAAGTTGGAACACTGACTCCTAATGGAGTATCACCCCTTCGCTGTGCCACAGGCCCGTGACAGAGCTTGGAGTCAGAATGATTACTCCAAGGGCAGAGCGAACGGCTATAGCTCTAGAGCTAGTATACCCGACTCAAACCATCTTACGATTCAACCCGTCTAGTCCACCGTAAATCTTAGTCTGTTAGTAAGAAGCTGACGCCTCCGGGGGTGAGGAGGGGAGGGGGGGGGCTCATCCGATGTCTTACCGTGTGGAGAGGCAGCGCATACATGTGTGGTCGTGTTACCGCAATGCGGGGCATGGTCACAAGTGTCGACCCTGCTGCGAACATAAATAGACACTGTGTTATTAAATAACCTTTCCTGCAGATATACGCGCGAAAGCACAGTCGGGGCTATATTATATGTGCGTGCGTGCGTGCGCGTGTGTGGTGTGTTTGTTTTGTTTGTTTGTTTTGCGAGCACGCGTGTGTGCGTAGTCACTTAATTCTACTCGTAACCTTGTATCGAGCATAAATAAACGTGTTACATTCTGTTACAGCCCTTCCGGAGATAGACGTGACATTGTTACGTAGCGCGGCTGGTATAGCGTATTAGAACTGTACCTGTGTAGCGCCAGGCCACTACCTGTGATAGCCAGCCATACTGTACGGTGGCGCAAGAAGGCTTCACCACAAATACAAATCCCACAACCAAAGCATGCAAATCCCGCAACACAAATGCAAATCCCGCAAACAAATGCAAACGTACAACACAATTCGCAAACGTGGCACAGCACAAATGCAAATCTCACAATCAAAAATCCAAACGCCACAACACAAGCAAACGCCAAACGCAAATCAAGACGCCCACCAACACAAGCGGCAAACTCCACAATGCAGACAATGCAAACCCACACACAAATGCAAAATTGCCTGCCGCGCGCCCGCCTGTACTGTTTTGTACTGGCCGCATTGTATCAGGAGTAGATAATCAGGATAATCTTACTCCTATCATCTACTCTTGATTGTATTACAGCTGTTAACCCCCTCCCCCTCCGCACACACGTTATCACGCTATATGGCGCGTAGAGAAGGATGTAGGAGGAGGGGGAGAAGCTGGTGGAGAAGGAGGAGGGGGAGAAGCGGTGGAGAAGGAGGAAGGGGAGAAGCTGGTGGAGAAGGAGGAGGGAGAAGGGAGAAGCCTGGTGGAGGAAGAGGAGGAGAACTGTGGAGGAGGAGGAGGGGAGAGAAGGGAGAAGCGGTAGGAGAAGAGGGAGAGGGAGAAGCTGTAGAGAAGGAGGAGGTGAGAAGAGGTGGAGAAGGAGGAGGGGGAGAAGCTGGTGAGAGGAGGAGGGAGAAGGCTGGTGGAGAAGGAGAGGGGAGAAGGGAGAAGCTGGTGGAGGAGGAGGAGCAGAAGCTGGTGAGGAGGGGGGAGAAGGGAGAAGCTGGTTGGAGGGGGAGGGGGAGAAGGAGAAGCTGGTGGAGGAGGAGGAGGGCGAGAAGGGAGAAGCAGGTGGAGAGGAGGAGGGGAGAAGGGAGAAGGCTGGTAGAGAAGGAGAAGGTGGAGAAGGGAGAAGCTGGTAGGAAGAGGAGGAGGAGGAGGGAGAAGCCGGTGAGAGCTGGAGGAGAA